TGGGTTCACTTTGCATAAAATTTCTACATCATTATGCATATTACGATTATTTAATGATGAATTTTGTTATTGCACTAGATCAAACATCATCAAGTGATAAGTAAACGTATTAGAATATCTCACCGTAGGAAACTTTGTCACATCCCTCATCACTTTAGTTTTGACAGCTCCGGGATGTAAACAGACAGCCACCACACCACTATCTTTCAAACGTTCATTCAATTCGATAGCGTGTATTATATTTGCCAATTTAGAAGTGCTATATGCATCTATTGCATCATAGGCCTCTTGATCATATTGCAAATCTGGTTTGATAATGCGACCTCTTTCATGAATCATGGAGGAAACATTGATTATTCGTGATGGTGCAGCATTCTTTAACAATGGTAACAACAATTCTGTCAATAGAAATGGTCCAAAATAATTCACTCCCATTGTCATTTCGAAACCATCTTCAGTTGTTGTATAGTTCTGTAGTATGAGTCCAGCATTGTTGATGAGAAAATCTATTTTGTTGTATTTACTTTTGATTCTGTCAACAAATTCTCTGATTGATGTTAACGAAGCCAGATCAAGTTGTTCAATGATCAACTAGAATGAAATTGAAAAATGTAAAGTGTTGAAAATTAGTTTATAATGTTACAAACATCAAAATATCCCATAGTTTCAATTAAAATAAGACAATGAAAACGGATTATCATGAATCAACGACAGTTAGAATCAGAAGGGTGGATTTGTAGAGTATGCAGTAATTTCAATAGTTAGAATGTTGTTCACACAGTAATCATAGACAACAAAAAAGTGTTACGTAACAACAGAATGTAATGGTATTCGAAACGGATAGAAATTTTATCAAAATTATACTTTTCAAATGTTATACAAGTAGTTGATTATGTAAAATATATGATTAAGAAAATATGAAATGAATGAAGAAAGGACACTCAGTCTAGCCTGATCTCTGTGTTTAAATTTAGAAAAAGAATAAGACAATAGCTGATTGCTTCGAATAGTTTAACCTTTGTATTGTGGAACAGATGAAAGATTTAATGGTGTACAATAACTTACTCTATATCTCCATCTGTACTTCATCTTTCAAATTTTAATGTATGTATATATCATCATGATAAAGTGATAAGATATATACTGACTTTAGTAAACGTTTTCCTAACTATGAAAGCAGATGATTATTTCATAATATTCTAGGGAATGTAATTCAAATAAGTAACTGTACACTCAAGTAGTAAATCCAAGTTAACTATTTTATGATAGATTGGTTGAATTTAGACTTGTACATCATTGAATATCAACTTAATGGTCAAGAGGTTAACCATTCGTGCAATAGACCGAATGTTCAGGTTGCAATTTTCGTCTGCGATGACTGTCAAGTAGTTCCATAATGAGGTGAAACGACAGTCCAGTATTAACAGTTTTTCAATGATCATTTAACTTGGATTGCTTCGTGAAATCAATGAAGTTTGATTTTTTATTGTTTATGCAACAACTACCAACAGTCCAGAAAATGATTAAAAACTATTTGCATATAATAAGTCGTAAATTTCCTTATTGTCAGATGTCGTTTGTTATGTTATATCTTTAAAAGAATTTTCATAGTTGAAATCATGAGTCGATTTAAACTTGACCACCATCGAAGATCTGCAAGCACTGGATAGCCGTTTTGTCTTGGGTTCCAGACCCGCATATGGGGTCGTGGATGCGTACTGCCGAGGAGTCCTGTCTTAGAACGAAACGGCCGTCCAGTAGTTCCAGGATAACATTGGTGTTCCACCTTAAATTGACTGATGATTTTAACCATTAAAATTACTACGATCTCCACAAACCCCCATTATGATATTCACTGTAATAATATTACAGCGGTTGGTGCTATTCGGTTACTAGCTAGTTCGTTGATGCGTAATACTGAGGATTATAAAGCTATTAGCTGATTCCAATGATTAGAAAAGACTAATTTTGAATCTACCAACCTCAAGAAAGAGATATAACTTAAGAAGAGTATACTAAAGTCAATGTTAGCATACCTGGTCTGACTCGATGGGCTTTAAAGATGACTTCACTGGACTACATGCAATATCTGTTTCTCCACTTTTCTCATTATTCTTACCATACATTTCCAATAGACGTGTTTTAGCTTTGTTGGCTCGTTCGATATTTCGACATGCCATAATGATGGTTGCACCACGACGAGCCAATTCACTGGCTGTATAAAGACCGATTCCAGTGTTACATCCTGTCACAATTGCCATTTTCCCATCCAATCGTTTGTTGATAACACATGATTTTCTCCATAAACCAACGGTCTCTTTCATTGTGTTTGAATACGGTGGAGTGACTTTGATGTTGAGTCTATATTTGATGTGTGACGATTGAATTGTACACGAATTTAAAGTGAATTGAATGTGAACGGAATGTGATATCTAACCAATCACATTGGTCAAATGAAAACGAACGTATACTAACCGTATAATTCTTTTATTTAAAATTTGGCATATTATTATCATTCTTTATATGAATGATAATAGATTGTGAATTTATGTGTGACCAGATAATTATCTATATCGGAATTCACAAATTTCTGTAAGAGGAGCCAAAAAATTCTCATTAACATTATTTTCAATTCGCAAGCGAATGCGTGCTCGTATTAGAGCATGGTCAGAGTCTAAACATGTACTGGAGAATGAGCGACAGTCTTCTATCGATCCTCTCCAACGTTGACTGATGATAATATGGTCTATTTGAGTCCATCGTTGGTTTGGTGCAGGCGGCCAACATATTACACAATGTCTCTCCTTTACTTAAAATTAGTGTTTGCTAAAAATAAATGATTGTTTGAGCACAGTTGCAGCAGACGGTCACCATCAAATGTTCGCTGAGCCGGAATACTAAAATACCCACCTATATGTCTTTCTGTTTAGTTTAAGCTACCTCCTTGAGCATTGAAGTCACCTGCTATGTGTACCATGTCTGAGCGTTCAGCTTTTTGAAGTTCACAAAGCCTTCTGTAAAATTCATCTTTAACTTCATCTGTGCTGCAGTCATTGGAAGTGTATGCAGAAAAGACGAAAATGCGACGACGTGTGACGTGTGAGGAGGAGGAAGTCAAAAGAGGATGTTTAGAGTTGAAAGTCGAGGTGGGACGAATAATAGAAATTGAATAGGGAGGCTGATTATGAATACAGGGATATTGAGTGCTGTCAGTGGTATGAAGGCGTTTATCACACATTGTGGAAACTTTCTTCAATATGTACCAGAAGAGGAAATTTGTTTAGGGGTGGTCTTAGTGACCTGAGAGCGTGACTGCAGTGCCCAATAGACAACTGCTTGAGGACGGTCACACACAAACATTTTGTGGGTGACTCTTGTTTTAGTTCCATACTTGTTGAGAACTTACCGTTCCGAAGACGGATATCCGTGGGAAAATGTGAGGTGTTCATCTTTAGCGCCAACCGTTTCTAACCCCACCACTCCTTGTGAGAATGCGCATCGTTGTGACGCTGACTGTGTGAGAGAAGCAACTTACTGCCGCCACATATCTGTATAGTCAGTAGTACGACTTCGCCTTCGGACCATGTGTTTGCTGCTCTTAGTCTTACCGTACTTCGACTCACCAGTCTATCATGATAAGATCTAGAGGAATGATGTTTTCAGCTAGTAGAGCTCGGTTGGTTCATTCTGATAAGCAAGCCCAACTACCACGTCAAAGGAGCAATAGTGATCGGAAATATAATTTCCTAAATATCTCCATATTCAACTCGTAATATAATATCTAAGTTCACTAGACACAATTTCGCATTTCGCGATAAAAAAATTATTATTACGATGATGAATTTAGGCTTGAAAATTCAGTGAATTCCAATCTTAATTATTTAGTTCATTGTTGAAATATTAGTTTAATGATTGAAGTTTTATCAGACAGATTGTTCTCTTCAACTTCAGTTGAATTCAATTTAGTCTAAAACTATTACAATGCTGGAGCAATTATGTATTCATTTAAGTCACCAATAGAGCATACATAATTAGTTTATAGAATAGACAAATAACTGAGTCGCTTTAAGTATAGTTAAGCACGTGGAACTCTTTAAAATGTTAAATACTCAAAAACAATGTAACAACCATAATGTGATTTTTCTTATACTGTGTGACTAAATTACTTGGACAAGGAAGCTGGAAAATTAGATTCGCATTTTACATCCCTATTGATTATTTGCATAGTTTTCTTATATAAGAATCAATGCAATTCCTATGCTATTTTGACTGAAACTGGTTACAGTATCTTTATAGAATGGGGTCAAGCTTTAGATAGTTGGCAATGTCTATAAAAACCAGTTAGTTTCTGAGAATACACTACTTTACTAAATCGACCGATTTGACAGACTTATATACATATAGTCCATTATTATTATTTATATCAGTAATACAGACTATCTTTCATATAATCGTGTTAGCAACACAATCAGATGAATAATTAGGTATGATGAAAGATCATGTTTGTTGTTTATTATTACTAAGCGTTAATTCATTTTGTATTGGTTGATTGAGCAATCTCATTGATGTTTTGGACTGTAATTGATCAGTCTCTTTTTGGTATATGTGCATTCCATGCAGATTATCTGAATATACCACTAAGTCACAGGTATTATAAACAGAGGTTGACGGTGGCTAACAGTGGAATTCAGGACGCGCATTTCATCCTATTTGGATACCGATCAATGAAAGTTGTAAATATTAGTGGGAATTAACAAACGGACGTGTTCAGTAACAATTCATTATATAGTTTGTAACAGTAGATTATGAGAGATGTGGTTCATTTATAAGCTTATACTTAAACTTGTTACTTCTTAAATAGACTATTGTTAAAGCTATGAAGATAATTAGAACAATTGGATCGCAGAAAATACCACTGTTTTCTTCATTGATTTAAGGGAAATTTATGAGAACTCAAATATGGAGAGATACTAGCTGTATTTAAATGACAAAATTTGTCACTAACCAGTTTTTAAATTTGCATTTTTATATGAAGTGAATTTTACTCCTTGAGGACTGTTGTGTTTCTGTTGCATAGAACTATTATTGATACTGTGATTTGATTTATAATAGGATGTAATGGGTTTTAGTGGATTTGTTAGTTTATTTGATGATCCCGGTGTTAATCTTTGCACGGAAAACGAAAGGAAATATGTAAAATATTAGAAATGAAGCGGAAGAAATAGGTTAATATTAGGAGTTCGGAGGTAGTTCACAGTAGGGTTCGAGACAATTACTTGATTCTAGTAAGCATTAGTCAGTACAGTCTGTCAGCAATCTCATACGAACTAGGACTTCCAGTAGGCTGATAACTTGATTCGGTAATTTCAAACAAACATAAGAGCACTGAAATATTTACAGGACAAACAACCTCATGTACGATTGAGAAATTCACACTAACTAACCACTTAACATCAAATGAAATGGATTTTAATTTCAACTTATCTAGACTGATAATTCCAGCACAATCCCACTCACAGAATCCAGTCATCTTAATGCCGATGGATTTTAGACTTTTCAAGAATATCTTGCCAATACTTCATTCATAAAACATGAATAGATATATGGATCGTTGAACTGTCCGGGTTATTAAATTTATTCTAATATTACAAATAACGTGTATTTCATAATTCGTAATTGTGATTATTTACATTGAATGGTGAGAAATAATCATGAGCATTTTCTTTATCATCTAGTCTATATTCATGGAAATGTGTAATTACGTAATCGCGGAGTAGACGTTGCATTCTCACACTCCACTGAAATGAACAAAACGTAATATTCATTAACATAAATTTGTTTTATATTAGTGATAGTTATTTGTCTGTAATTCCCAAAACGATAAGAATTCGGAGTATTTTCAACTAAGGAACACTGTCCTGCCCTTGTTAGAACAAATTAACTCCATTTCAGAGATATTTTCAACTATCATCTAATTTCGATAAAATGATGGTTCAAAATAATGTCGTTCTTACAATTGTAATGAGAGAGAGAGGGGTGTTTGTGGATATTATAGTTCTAATCTCGTGATGTGGGATCGTGGATGCGCACTGATGAAGATTCTCAAACTAGAACGATAAGGCCGCCCAGTGCTTACAGCTTTTCCATTGTGGTCTAGCTTCAAATGACTCATGATTTCAACTATTCAATTTGTATAATTATCGGAAATCAAAACGATTATTTAGCACGATTTACAATACTACTTAATTACGCATTGAAGTAAATACAAATTGTGCTTACTGTTGAGATTTATTAATTTCAGCTGCAACAATATTTAAATCTTCCGTCTCCGAATCCCATTCATCATCCTCACTGCTTGGCACAACTGGTAAATTACTGGTAGTATTAGTAGTATTTGGTTTTGTACCAAATGTCACAACTCGTTGATCATGACTGAAATGAATCTCGGGTGAATTAGATGTGGTTTGTGTTTGTTGAACAGTACCACTTGTTAATTCTATCGAAGTGTTCAAGTAACCCCGATTGAGATACGCGCAAAATCGAAGTTCCAAAACAACGATTTGTTTACATAATTTTTCTCTTTATTCCTTCAAGCAACAAAATGACTGATGAAAGGAACATTTCCATGGAGTGAGTTTTCTTAGTTTAGTTGACTTGCATTGATGTATTCTGATTATTTGCAACACTGATATAGTTTAATTTGACTCTTAATCATCGTGTTTGTTACATCCGAACGAAGAATAAATGAATGGTGAATGTTAAGGATTATTTGTGGAGCATTATTGCATATATTCTTATTGGATAACTGTCAAGTAACTAAATCATATGTATATTCATATTCGTTTCGTTATAAACTTGAATTTGACCTATTGACTACTGTTACATGATTTGACCACTTAAGTCATAATAATGTCAATTAGGCTAAATTAAATGAAACTAAGAAATATTATTGTTGTTTCCGATTTTCGAAGACCAATGTCCGAGAATTCAGCCGACGAGAACGTTATTTCCATGAGTAGGTCTATGATGAAGTTAAACAAAAATTGAGAAAACGTTCGTTCGAATAAACGAAAGGGACATCAATGGGATCATCAATATCAGGACTGATCTCAGAAGCAGTGATGCAAAGACTAGAAGACGCGATATTACCAGTGATCAAGCCGAAAATTTGGATTCGCTATGTAGACGACACATTCGTCTTCGTCACAAAGAATGAACTGGAAAACACTTACATTCTGATCAACAACGTCTTCGATGACACCAAGTTCACAATGGATCAGGAGTCAAACAACAAACTATCATTCTTGGATACACTAATCACTAGCACCAACACAGGAAAACTGGAAATTCAAGTGTATAGGGAACTAACTCATACAGATCAAATTCTCAACTATTATGGCAACAACCCAAGATCTCACAAAATCAATTGCGTACACACTTTGTTCAAGAGGGTGAGGACAAACTGCAGCACACTGGCAGCAAAAAAGATGAAGAAAAATACCTGAAGGACGTATTTCAAAAGAACGGTTACCCAACCAACTTCATCAAAAAATACCAACCGCACGCAGCATTAGAACCCAAATCAAGCACAGAAATCAACAAAAGGATCGCCCTAACATACATAAAAGGTATATCAGAAACCGCAACGAGACTGCTGAAAACCTTTGTGATGGGTGTCGCACACAAACCGAAGAAATCACTACAATCAGTCCTATGCAAACCAAAGGATGAAATAACAAAGGAAGACAAATCAAACATCATCAACAAAATAAATTGTGCCGACTGCGAAACACACTACATCGAACAAAGCGAACGCCCTCTTCACCTTCGCCTACATGAACATCAATTAGCAGTCAAACGCCATGATACTTACTCACTTATATCAATACACGTGGACAACTGAGGACACTCATTCGATTGGAAAAATGTGGAAATCTTAGACAGAGGAAACTCCAAAAATACCAGAGAATTTTCAGAAGCCTGGCACTCAGATCAATCAGCAGTCAGTCAGTCAGCCATCCTTACCTAATACATGTTTCCTATCAACTGTGTTACTTACTCGATGGTCCCATGATATACGAGCAATGTTTCGAAGACACCTATGATCGAATACTAGTAACCTACGAATATCCTCTACTCTTACCGGCCATGTTTCATTTCCATAAAATAGGACGGGACGTACTGCTGCACAGTAAACCCGTCCTTTGGTTTATAGACGGATATCTCGCCTACGCCATAAATGACGCAAGTTGGCAAAAGCTAGTCGAGCCTTCTGTATCCGTGCTGAGATTTCGTCACATACCAGACCACAAGGGCTGATGAGACTTCCAAGGTAAGTGAAGCGGTCGACACACTCAACTACTTCACTCCCTATCACTAGTTCGGGTGTCGATGTAACCCAATCCTGAAGCAACATTTTGCATTTCGAGGGAGAGAATCGCATCCCGAACATGCTTGCATTGTTGCTTAGAGTGGTCAGAAGACTCGGCATTTTGTCAGCGTCTTCACCAAATAAAACTATGTCATCAGCATATTCTAAGTCAACAAGTGAACCTCCCGGTAGAAGTTCAACCCCTGGAAATCCAGACGAGGAAAGTGTTATCTCTAAAAGTACGTCGACCACAAAGTTGAACAAGAATGGGGAGAGTGGACATCCCTGACGAACACCACTTGAGGTAATCGATTCTGATGACAGTTCGCCATAAGCTCTCACTCGACCAGTTGTGTTCGAGTAGAGAGCCTGAATAAGGTTAATGTACTTCTTTGGTACTCCTTTCAGTGACAAACACTGCCATAGAACCTCACGATCAACAGAGTCGAATGCCGCCTTAAGGTCGAGAAATACTACCATTGTCGGGCGTCTAAACGTGTGTCTGTGTTCTAGAACCTGACGTAGTGTGAATATTTGGTCTATACAACAACGTCCAGGTCGAAAACCAGCCTGATTTTCTCTAGTCTGTTCTTCACGAGCTCTGGTTAGGCGTCGAAGTATTATTGGAGTTAATATTTTAGACACTATATTAGTCAAACTGATTCCTCTGTGATTGTCACAAGAGGACTTTTGTCCTTTCTTAAAAACTGGCACAATCAGTGATTGAGACCAGTCAGATGGGATTACGTCCAGTTCCCAAATTCTACCTAAGACCTCGGTTAATCTCATTGCTAATACTGGACCACCATCCTTAAAAATCTCAGGAGTAAACCTGTCAGGGCCTGCTGCTCTCCCTCGTTTCAGATTTCCTATGGCTTTTTCAACTTCGTTAAGAGACGGAGGACCTACATTAACTTGCCATTCAGGTTAACTGGGGATCGTGGGAAACCGAAGTGTGGCTGAAGGCCAGTTGAACTGATCCCTGAAGTGTTCTGCCCATCGATCCAATCTCCTGGATTGGGAATGAATAATATGTCCGTCTTTCTCTGAGAGTGTTTCGCTAACGGTCGGGTTCCTAATTCCGGTTTCCTTAACGAGTCTGAACAATTGTCTGCTATTACCTATTGCCGCTGCCTTCTCCATCTCTCTTGCTTTTGCCACCCACCACTGTTCACGATCATTGCGTAGACTTCTTGTCAGCTTGCGCTTAAGCTGACTCCGCTCTTCATTATGTTCATAGCCAGATGGAATGAGTTTCCTAGCATCTATCAGTGCGATAGATGCTGCTGAGATCCAGTGTTGCTCTCTTACCTTCTGGTTTACCTTACTAGCAGATATCATTGCTGTTTCCACAGCTTTTCGGATATCATTCCATGCTGCATCGGGGTGGGCAGCACATACATGGCTGCCTAAATGTTTTCCTAGTTGTTCCTGAAATATACTCTTAGCTTGACTATCATTAAGTAGGCCCCTAAGAGGTTTCCTTGCAGCGTCTTTCCTACGTCCAGTAAGACGCAAGCAAATACGTGCTCGCACTAGAGCACGATCTGAATCTAAGCATGTGCTCCAGAATGAGCGTCAGTCTTCTATCGAGCCCCTCCATCGGTGGCTGATAGCGATGTGATCTATTTGGGTCCAACGTTGGGAGGAATTAGGGGGTCGCCATGTTAAAAGATGTTTTTCCTTATGCTTAAAGTTAGTATTTGCAAGGAACAGCGATCAACAAGCATATTGAAATCGATCCAACTTATCAACCAATCAGGAAAATTATGCACAAATATAGGAACAAAAATCAAACCAATGGGAGACATGACCAAAACAAAGAAGTAAACAATGATAAATTTAAGGTCAATAAAAAACAATCAACATCAAGGTGCACAGAACAATCTTTGAAACACATATGGAGAAATTCAAACACTTCACTTATATCTGAAGTTTGTGCTGATGATGTCATTCAGAAGAACGATGAAAGCTCCACGACCAAACCATCCAGCTCAGAGAACAAAACTATCAAAATCATCCACCTGAGCTACAAATCTTCTCCACCATCTCAAATAACATTTATCCATAAGCTCTCACTCGACTAGTAGTGTTCGAGTGAAGAGCATTCACAACGTTTATGTACTTCTGAAGTACGCCGTTCAATGACAGACACTGACGTAGTGTGGTGTGTGCTACTTATATCGACATAAGTAGTATGAATCGCGAGTCAGGAATATAATGTCTGGTAGAAGAAGATCGAAAAGAGAAAAACGGGAACAGAAAGCAATTGGTATGGAGATGCAGGAACAATGAAGTCTAAGACAATTAATGAACATTTTACAAATGAAGTATTAGAGTATGGTTTTTCTATTTTACCAAGTAATTCTGTAATTGTGTTCTATGTACGATCAATTTTCCTCAAACTGTATTCTCCTTCACTATAACAGAAAATCTCGGTCTACAGAGTCAAATGCTGCTTTTAAGTCAAGAAAGACCACCATTGTCGAGCGCCGATAATCATCCCTGTGTTCTAAAATCTAACGAATGGTGAATATGTGGTCGATGCAGCTCATGAGTCATGGTTAGGCGTCCGAAACTAGTACTTTAGAAGATATATTAGTCAAACCAATCCCTCAATGGTTGTCACAGAATAATTTTGACACCTTCTCATATATTGGGACAATCAGTGATTGAGACCAGTCACATGGGGTTACGACCATCTCCCAGATTTTAGCTAAACTTTTAGTCGGCCTAATGGCTAAAACTGAACCACCATACTTAAGGACATCTGGACTATCTATTCTTCCTCGCTTCAGATTAACTATAAAATTTTGAACTTCGACTAGAGTTGGGGAACCTACTTCAGTGTTCCATTCGAGCTAAATATTAATCTAACAGAAAACACACACAAACTGTAAACTCTTTGAAAAGAGCAACGCTTTCATTCACTCAAATCAGTGTGTACAAAGTGAAATCATATTGTAAATAACACCAAATTGAAAATCATCACATTCTATTAACTGATTTATTGGTGAATTTGTCTCAATACGATCATCAAAATGAACACCGATTTCTGTCTACACAGTCCACTTGAGTAGTCATTCACATCTAGTTATCACATTGTATATTCAATAGTTCACATGTTTTATCCAAAAACCATTTTCTGTCATCCCTATTTTGAACAGATTTTGAAGGTTTTTTCAATGTGCAATTTGAATAATAACCTCCAGGAGCCAAGTTATCTGTTAGTACAGTATATAGAGTAGTTTGTGCGCCATTCCTCGGTGTATTAAGTAATTTGCGGACGAATGGCAGTATAATATTCTAAAATAAATGTGGTGAATAAAACATATTACAGTCTGTATACTGATAAATGCTAATGATTTACAAAGTTTTGTTGAAACTATATATATATAACAGTACAACTATGATTTTTAAACGGACTAAACCTTTTGAAATACCAGCCACCACATTATCAGCATGGAGATGAAATTTAGCCACTGTCATTACGGTAATTCTGCGTGCTAGAAACTTGCAAAACGTTTCTCTCGTGTGCGTTGGTGTGAAGTATCGGATTACCGTTCTCTAACATCGAGGTATCATGCTTCAAATTCACCAACCTTTGTCATTCAGCAGCTACGTCATGTTTGGTCGTGTTGTGACAATGTCCGAGTTTGCTTAGTATTGTCATTCGGATGTCGGCATTCTCGAGTAAACGCAGGCTACAGACAAATATTGGGCGTTTAAACTGGTCTTCCGTTATGAAAGACAACGTGAAACTTTCACATTCTCGCTTCACAATTCCTGCATGATTTATCCAGTCATCTCCTTGTTCTTTCGTTATCTTCAAGCAAAGATTTGAGACAGGGTTTTAATTGTGTAATCAAAACTAAAGGCTCGTGGGTTCTTTAGAAAAATAAGGTTACCGAAGCTCTCATGTTCCGTCATCCTAATTTTTCTTATAAGCAGTCTGACTTTTGACGCGTCGTCCAGTCTGAAGAGATCATTACGGAACAAATCTTCATATTTCTTGAACCAAGAGTCAAAAGTAACACCTGCTATACGATCAAAATTAAATTCATGGATGGCATTATTGACTGAATCAGCATGCGATACTTGCAATTCATCAGAAGCGGTGTTTTGCTGGAACAAGCACATTTTCTGAATAATGGCTTCCATGATTCTGATTTGTGACTGTTCAAACTGTTTCTCTTGACGTTCCGTATATTCTTCTAGTTGGTCCCAAGATATATTCATTGTGGCTTTCTTGTCGCCACTGACAAGTTTTTTCGATTGAACGTTACTTTGTTTTATCTGGTCGTCTCTGATTGCTATGGAGGAATCGACCATCACTTATACTTGTAAAGCGGGGAGCCACTGCAATTCCCACGACGCGAAAGTAAGGGCACAAAGACTGGTACAAATGAAAATTTACTAACCCCAAAATACGATGACGACAACCCTAGTCGAAAATGCAATCATTTATATATTGATTTATACACCCATTTTGATTAATAATTAGGGTGAAATCACATATATGGAAAATACTTACAGATATAACAAATCATATGCTACATGTCATGCTCAGCCTAGTTCATGTTAATTTAATACAAGAATATCTTATATCATTGTGGTGTTTGTATGAACAATAATTCCCTTTTACTTATTGACTGCCTGATTTCGAATTCCAAATACAACACAATCGTTTCTGCTCATCTAATACTTCTTGCTTAAATTACGTTATTTATGGGATTTTTAGTTTGTACTGTAATTCAATTACTCTTAATTATCACAGTTTTACAGAAGAAAATATCATACGGGAAAACAAAACAAATACTACAATGAGTAACCATCACATTGACTTAAAACGGAATTAATGTTGAACAAAAATCTTAATAAGTAAACGAATGTAACTCTGATATTGCCCTCCGACATATGAAATATACACATCGGGAACATACCAAGATATTGTCCTATGTATTTCATTGCTGAGTAACATTAATAGCCACATCGTCTAATTACTGGAAATCGATCGTAATGTTCAGATCGACAAACAATTAACCACTTTATTTCAATCAACTTGAAGGTTTGTATGTGAACAATCTCATGTTCATCATGATCGTCAAACCAATCAATTTTATCGTAATTTCAAATCGAAGCAGAAATTACGGTAGAAATTAGGTTCACTTGGCATAAAATCTCTACATCAGTATGTATATTACGATTATTTAATTATGAATTTTGTTATTGCACTAGATCAAACATCATCAAGTGATAAGTAAACGTATTAGAATATCTCACCATAGGAAAATTTGTCAGATCCCTCATCAATTCAGTTTTGACAGCTCCGGGATGTAAACAGACAGCCACTACACCACTATCTTTCAAACGTTCATTCAATTCAATAGTATGTATCACATTTGCCAATTTCGATACACTATATGCCTTCATTGCATTGTAATTTTCTTTACTGTACTGCAAATCAGGTTTTAGAATGCGTCCATCTTTATGCAGTGCAGATGACACATTGATTATTCGTGATGGTGCAGCATTCTTTAACAATGGTAACAACAATTCTGTCAATAGAAATGGTCCAAAATAATTCACTCCCATTGTCATTTCGAAACCATCTTCAGTTGTTGTATAGTTCTGTAGTATGAGTCCAGCATTGTTGATGAGAAAATCTATTTTATTGTATTTACTTTTGATTCTGTCAACAAATTCTCTGATTGATGTTAACGAAGCCAGATCAAGTTGTTCAATGATCAACTAGAATGAAATTGAAATATTATGGAAGAAAAAAATTGATGAAAACCTTTCTTAAACACATTGTCTCCACTGTTTCAATAATATTTGAATATAGTATGGTGGGACACAATATACCTCATGCATTTGGTTCCGTTTACGAACTTGATTAAAGGCTGAACAACAATTGAGACAAGTTTATATGAAATCATTGTATTTCATAATTCCTCGTCAGCTTCCTACAAACATATATAGTAAAGTATATTTACATATTTATTTATTCTCATTTTGTTTTCTTTCATTAGTGTCGATCATTTCATACAGTATCATATCTCAATGTTATACTTCACTACATATATAATTGTAAGTATCCGACGAGGAACCGTGAAATATAATTAATTCAACTATTGTTTTAACCTTATTCAGGTATTATAATATTTGATTTCAAGGATCGAGGAAAGTGAGTTTTGAATATATTATGACCTGTTAAATACTTAGATGATCGTTGGCTGTATGATATATCATTGCACCAATAGATACAATGTAATGAGTAGATTAGTTAGACAAGTCTATCATTATCAACATGAACAGTTTGATTGGTTTGTCGGCAGGATCGATCAAGAAATGAGAAATGGAAATTTGTTGAAATATTTTGTGCTGGGAATTCTATATTGTACCAAGAATATAATATTGAATGAAGCCATAATAATAATAATAATAATAATATTAATAACCGTGTTAACAGATGCATTCATTCGAATGTGTTTACTCAACTAATGAATATGGTGTATAAAATATCACAAAATGTTGCAAACTTAGTTTAGTGTTATTTGCAGAAGTAACGGAGTCCGTAGCAATCATGTTTTCTGAAAGACGTTTATGAATATTATAGTGAGCGTTGCGGTGTTTAATCTGAGGTTAGTATTAAGCAATTGTTGAGTACAAATCGGTTATAATTGGTTCTCGAGTTGATGCCAGTTTGTCATGTAAACCGCCTGCGAACACAACAATCTCCACAAACACACACTCTAATGACATGCAAATAACTCGAAGAGAATATGACTAATTCAGTATTGACATACCTGATCCGATTCGATGGGCTTTAAAAATGACTTTACTTGACTACATGCAACATCGATTTGTTCACTTTCCCTATTGTCCTTACCATACATTTCCAATAGACGTGTTTTAGCTTTGTTGGCTCGTTCGATATTTCTACATGCCATAATGATGGTTGCACCACGACGAGCTAATTCACTGGCTGTATAAAGACCGATTCCAGTGTTACATCCTGTCACAATTGCCATTTTCCCATCTAATCGTTTGTTGATGATACATAATTTTCTCCGTGAACCGACTGTCTCCTTCATTGTTTTGAACACGGTGGAGTGACTTTGATGTTGAGTCTATGTTTGATATGTGACGATTGAATTGTACACGAATTTAAAGTGAATTGAATGTGAGCGGAATGTATATTTGACCAATCAGATCGATTAAATAATAACAGATATATACTGACCGTATTATTGTGTTTACCTGTAGTGCCAGTCGCATATTTTTAAATGGAACTTCTCTCATATAAAATTTAGCATATTATTATCATTCTTTAGATGAATGATAATAGATTGTGAATTTATGTGTGACCAGATAATTAACTTTATTTAGATTCACCAATTTCTTTAAGGGGAGTCAAGAACATTATCAATAAGATTATCTTCAATTCGGTACTCATCATCAATTGGATTATTCACTGTTGAAGCAATTACTACATGACTGAACCACGTCAACAGGAATGATTCGGATATCATTTTATATACGATATACTTAGAATTGATTATTCATGCTTGCTTTGATTACTATATATTAGAGACTGAATTCAACCATCGACACAGTCAGAAAAACTGATTTATTCTAAGGAGATCCACTCAATTACGGTAGCACCAAATATATATGCGATATGCTATTTAATTCAGTGGAAGTGGAATAGATGATTCCATATGTTTCTATAGACAAAGATTTGGCTATGTTGATTATCATTATAGATTTCGAAATGTACTAGAGATGTACAAGAGCATGTTTTAGTTGATTCGATGTGAGTGAATGGATTACGTAAAAAATATATAGCAGCAGTTGAACAAAAATTAATGGCAATTAAGAATAACATAAGTTCAGATCAATCAGTTAAACTATGTCATGACTTCGAAATAGATGATGCAATTACAAATAGGAGAGAAAGAAGAAAATTACAAAAATGATGTAATAGACTGACGATGAAATTACCACGGTTAGGATAGGTTCGCAATTGCGTCCTTCATTATATAATCAATTAATTGCTTGTCACCATGTCTGGTGATCGTGAATCGTCTTTCACATATTACATTAATTTACAACTCATTATATGTCTTCAATTTCACTAGTCCATCATGATAAATTCCAGTGTGTTTCTTGCTTTTATGATACTAAATATCTTTTCATTCATTGTTTATTTCTGACAACTGATTAGAACGACCGGTCAATGATCAAAGTCAGTACCAATGTTGAGATTGAATGTACCAGGAGCACGAGTCCTCTTAAACTTACACATAAACTTACTTGATTTATGCCAAGCGGCACGAAACCCACCACCAGTGTTTCCTATCCATTACTTTTAACCATCTAACTAAAGAAATATATTTCCTTACTTTTTCATTTTGTCTAGAATTCTTGGGGTTCTTCTATGGTTTCTATGCACAAATGTTCACGTGCAGTTTATATAAGTTGGTAAACATATTCACTAACATATATCACAGGTTGTCGACTCATTTGGGGTTAACCATCCTACTATGTGTGAGTATATTTCTCGGAATCTTCAGGCAAATCTTGCCAGTAGCTGATCAAGTTAAGAATAACAGCAGTATTCCTAATAATTGAGCACTATTCTTTTCTCGAAAACCTGATATCGATGAGACCAACTTCGAAGCATACTTCTTCATATTTTTGGTACAGCAAACAAATTGATAACCAACACCAATGAATTTCTATATCAAGATTCAGTGAATTATGCAAGTTCCGCAACAATCTTTTAAAAAAGGCCTAACAGTAATTCCTAACTATATCATCAAAACGTTATCAAGACTATACTATAGAAATATACATACAACTATAATCATTCATTCAAATTCACTCAAACAGAAACGGATACATATAGAATTACTTGCTGATTAGTCTAAAATAATTTATCAGTTAAATACTTGTACTTAATTCTACGTCATTGTAGTTCTTGTGAAACAATACAGAATCCATTTGTATTTAATTTAAGATCAAATGAGCGGAAGAAATATGAAGTCTCTAATTAATTCAAGTATATTTAACACTGAAAGCACAATAATACAAAACGTTAATTAATAGTATAGAGAAAAATCAATATCAATGTAGTTGTAAAAATGAAAGCAACAGTACTTCTAGAACGGTTAGTAGTTTATGGCCTGTTAATTTGTCTCCGATATGGATGAACGTATGAATATGCTACGAATATAAATCTGCCATGTAAATCCATCTATTTATATAGCCTTACCCAGTTTGTATGACGGCGGTAATAAGAAGACAATTACGGGTTGCGTTAGATGAATTCATTCTAAGCACTCGTTGATCCAGATAGAAATTCAGAATAAAAAGCAGGAAAGCAAAGCGAAGAAAGCAGGTGTGTCAACTCCCTTTAATGAAGCGCGACTCAATATTTATAGCAAGACAAAAATGAGCTACCTACATATGATGGGTAGGATAAGCAATACACACACGTACGCTCATATAAAAGCAGTCAAGTTTTGTAAGAGAATAATTGGCCAGGTCAAAGTGTGACTCAAGATGGACGAATAAACTGGACATTCCGCAAGTTAAAATAACCCGTTTTTAGCTTGACATGGTACTTGACAGTACAGTCGTATCAGATATAATCTATTTATTAAGTGACATGTCAGCGTGATCAAGGCCAACAAATAATAATTCGTACGGAAACCCACCTGTTCATCTTGAAATTATGTGCTTACCGAATCTTCGGTTCGGTTTGACAACACTCTGTTGAAAAAGATTTCTGGTACTGATAGTAGTGTGTTGCTTCTGCAGTTTTCACACCTGCTTAGATCTACTTCCTTGGGATCTCGATTAGATACCATTCTTCTCAGCCTGATGGACTTGGTTCTCTTCACAAATCGTCCTAAATAGAACATTGGACATGTTCTCAGTTACTTCTATGTCTATCTTGAATGCTCCGTCTGATATGCTGTCAAGTTCTACTGATTTTTCACACTTGATTTGTCTGGCGTCCATCCTGATTTATTCGATTGTAGGTGGAGTGAGATCTATAGGAAGGTCTGTATTTGTGTGTTGCATCGATGTACAGTGTGTTCTATGAGCCGATCTGTTGAAGAGCTCTCCAAATTGTTCAATCCACCTGTTCCACCATTCTTGAATCGCAGTGACTGGCTTGCCTTCCTCGTCCTTGATTGGTTGTTATGATTTACTATATTACCCTACCAGTTTATTCTTACTTACTTACTTACGCCTGTTACTACTCCTCGTGAAGGAGCATAGGCCGCTCACCAGCATTCGCCATCTAACCCTGTCCTGGGCAATCCTTTCTAGCTCCGTCCAGTTGTAATTCACAGTTTTCATATCTGCTTCTATTATCCGACGCAATGTGTTCTTTGACCTTCCTCTTTTTCGCTTCCCTTCAGGATTCCAAGTTAGCGCTTGCCTCGTGATGCAGTTTGACGATTTGCGTAATGTATGTCCTATCCATTTCCATCGTCTTTTCCTAATTTCTTCTTCAGCTGGAAGTTGGTTTGTTCTCTCCCACAGAAGGCTATTGCTGATGGTATCCGGCCGATGGATGTTGAGTATCTTGCGTAGACAACTATTTATAAATACTTGTACTTTCTTGATTGTGGTTGTTGTAGTTCTCCAAGTTTCAGCTGCATACAGTAGAACTGCCTTGACGTTGATATTGAAGATTCTCACTTTGATATTGGTTGAAAGTTGTTTTGAGTTCCATATGTTCTTTAACTGTAGGAATGCTGTCCTTGCTTTGCCAATCCTTACCTTTACGTCTGCATCTGAACAACCTTGTTCATCGATGATGCTTCCTAGGTATGTGAAGGACTCTACATTTTCCAGAGTTTCGCCATCAAGAGTGATTGGATTGTTCTTTTCCGCTTTGAATTTGAGGACTTTGGTTTTCCCTTTGTGTATGCTGAGGCCTACTGATGCAGAGACTGCTGCTACACTGGCTGTCTTCATCTGCATCTGTTCGTGTGTACGTGATAGGAGGGCTAGGTCATCTGCGAAGTCCAAATCGTCTAATTGGTTCTGAGCTGTCCATTGTATTCCGTGTTTTCCTTCAGATGTCGAGGTCTCCATAATCCAGTCGACCACCAGAAGAAAGAGGAAGGGAGAGAGTAAACAGCCTTGTCTGACTCCGGTCCTTACTTGAAATGCATCTGTCAGCTGTCCTCCATGCACGACTTTGCGCTGTAGTCCGTCGTATGAGTTCCGGATAATGTTGACAATCTTCTCCGGAACTCCGTAGTGTCGAAGAAGTTTCCATAATGTCCTCCTATCTACATTGTCAAATGCCTTTTCATAATCAATGAAGTTGATGTATAGTGATGAGTTCCACTCAACTGATTGTTCGACGATGATCCGTAGTGTTGCAATTCGGTCTGTGCACGACCGATCCTTACGGAATCCAGCTTGTTGATCTCGAAGTTGGGCGTCTACTGCATCTTTCATTCGGTTCAGCAACACTCTGTTGAAGACTTTCCCTGGTATTGACAGCAGTGTAATGCCTCTGTAATTTTCACATTTGCTCAGATCTCCTATCTTTGGAATCTTGACGAGATGTCCTTCTTTCCAGTCCATCGGCACTTGTTCCTCCTCCCAAATCTTTTTAAATAGAAGGTAAAGCATGCTTGTGGTTGCTTCGATGTCTGATTTCAGTGCTTCAGCTGGTTTGTTGTCGGGTCCTGCTGCTTTCTCGTTCTTGATTTGTCTGACGGCCATTCTAATTTCTTCCTTCGTTGGTGGGTTGACATCTATAGGAAGATCTATGTGTGCTGCTTCGATGTCCGGTGGATTCATTGGAGCCGGCCTATTCAGGAGTTCCTCGAAGTATTCTACCTATCTGTTCCGCTGTTGTTGAATTTCAGTGATCGGCTTGTCTTCTTTGTCTTTGACCGGTCTCTCTCGTTTACTGTATTTCCCTGCTACTTTCTTCGTTGTTGCTCTAATATATCCTTCTGTTGCAGCTTTGTCCACTGTCGTTGCTAGTTCT